ATATATATATATATATATATATATATATATATATAATATATATATATATATATATATAAATATATATATATATATATATATAAATATAAAAATATAATTATATATATATATATATTATATATATATATATAATATATATATATATACATATATATATATATATATAATATATATATATATTATATATATATATATATATATATATATATAATATATATATATATATATATATAAATATAAAGTTATAAAGATATATATATATATATATATATATATATATATATATATATATATATATATATATATATATATATATATATATATATAAATATATATTAAATATATATATATATATATATATATATATATATATATATATATATATATATATATTATATATATATATATATATATATATATATATATATATATATATATATATATATATATATATATATATATAGGGATATAGATATATAGGGTTATTTTTCTCTCTGTCTACTTTTAAAACTTTTAACAGCATCTTTTCGTACAGTAGCATTAAGTTCTGCTTATTGTTAAAAAAAACATGATTTTAGAAGCAAAATTAAAACCCCATTTTTTTGTGTATATCACAGGTAAAACAAACTGTTGGAAAGTATTTTGATAAAACAAAGCTTGATACGTCTTTGACATTAGCACCTTGTTTAGTTATTAAATCTGAAAGGTTATCTAAGACTGCAAAACATCCAAATGTAAAATCTTCAAGTGAAAGTGATGGTACTGTAAGACCACCTCTGGAAAGTATTTGTAGATATGGACAAATAATTATATTGCTTGTATCTGTAGCTAGCAAAGGTTTGCATTGGGTCACTTTGAAGCCGTGAAGTAAGTACATATAAATATCCTTCTTCAATAAGGTCATCTATAAGCATTGCTTGAGAAGGCAGAGTTGTGATGAGAGCCCATGATGTTTGTTGTGATAAGGTAAAATATGGAGATTTTTGCCAAAGTTCAATCCAATTAGCTAATTGTCAAAAAAAAAGTGTTTTACCATCATTAAGAATAATCGCATTACCAAGTTTATTTGGGCTAAATAGCTCTTTAGAATTTGAAATAGTCCACCATTTTGTGAAAAATTGTAAGAAAACCAGAAATGTCTTTACATTCTGGAAAATAACTCTTGAAACCTGCAATTGTTGTTTCTTCAAAAATTGATAGTGCAAGAGAAACGTTTTGCTTTTTGTTACCAGGATGAAGACTCTGATATGAAATTTTTGGAGCTTTTCGTAAATTGCCTTCAAGTTTCTCATCTTTAGAATGTAGATGATGAAAATCTCCCCAAGTAATATAACCAGCTGGACAATTATTAGAATCATCTTTTATATTGAATGTAAAGGATGGAAAGACAAATTTTTTACAGTGTAATAAATTATTTTTGAGATTTTTAACAAGATGAAAACTATCATAAAATAAGTATATTTTAGTTTTTGGACTATCAGGATGATTAATAAAGAAATTTGATTGATTACCAAATTTGGAATGAAGCAAACTAAAAGCACTTACATTCGATTTATGATTATCGGTAACAACACGTCGAATTTTAAAACTAGATAGCGAAAGAGAACTAATAGAATCGGATATTTGATCTGAAAGCCATTTACCACTTATGTTAACTTCAGGTATCGCTTTAATAATGAGAGGAATTGATTTTTTTAAACTATCATAAATGCAACAACTCCTTTGTACAAAGTACCTGTATCATCTGCACCCACATAAATACCACTACAATATTGTGCTTGTTTCTGAAGATAAAATTCATCTACAATTAATATTACATCATGTATTGAACCTTTCTCACAAAGTGTTTTAACGGCCTTAATTGCATCAACTCCGCCTTGTTTTATTTTATTTAACAAAGAAATTGAAGGTAATGGAAATGATTCTAGTAAAATTTCATATGCTTGTTTAGATGTATATCTTAATAATAAAGTATGTCTAATCATATCAGCAGAATATTGTGGTTGACCCTTGGCTTTATAGTATGTTCGACTATTTATTTCATCAAGAAGTATATTTCTATTAGAAGAAGCGGTATTTTTTGTGTACGCTGCAAGATTTTCTAACATACTCAAACTAGTTAATTTAGAATAACGACCTTTAGATAACCATGGAGGAAGTGGAACATTATTTCCTTTATATTGCAAAGCTACACATAAGCAATAATCAATTTTTATTGATTCAAGAAATGATGGAAAAAATGTTATAGGGTCAAATATTAAATTATAATAAACTACACAATTGAGATGTTTTTTAAATTGGAAACCTTTTGGTGAATTTTTAATACTTAGCATGGTCCATTCAGTAACTTTATCATTTTCAGAAAAAGAACTAAGTTCATCTTCTTGAAAAATACGACTTTTAGGTGGTCTTCTCAAAGCAATAGGCGATGGTAATGTGGAAGGACATTTTAAGCAATCACTGGAGAAAATTTCAGGAATAGGATCTAGATTCCAATTTAACTTGCATTTTTTACCACGGATGATAAACTTTTCATTAAAATGCTTTCTACACAAAACGGAGTTTTGTGTAGAAAGCATTTTAATGAAAAGTTAAAACAGTTATTTTATATATATATATATAAAATAACTGTTTTAACTTTCTAAAACAGTTATTTTATATATATATATATATATATATATATATATATATATATATATATATATATATATATATATATATATATATATATATATATATATATATATATATATATATATATATATATATATATGTATATATATATATATATATATATATATATATATATATATATATATATATATATATATATATATATATATATATATATATATATATATATATATATATAATTAATAGTTTTATTATTCAACTTGTTGTCTTTTTTTGTGCGAAAATAGGCCTCTTAGAATCGGCCTCTAAAATGTAACATATACGGCCGTATAATATAGTAGGCCATGATTTGTCTAAAAACACCACTCGACTTTAATTGGTTTTGCGCACTGTTATTAAAAAGATAACTTATCGGTCTGCTAGTAAATAACTGACTGAAAGATGTTTACTAATAACTTTAGTAACATAATTTTACCGATTTCATGTTCAGACAGGCTCAGACGTGTTTGTTTTGTTTATTAGACAAAATGACTTCAAAGCGTCTACTATCTTTAAACATAAATAAAATTAGTTATATAAATCAGATTCGATTAAAAACATGCAAAAGTATATTGGCTTGTTAGAAATGAAGTAATTATATTATAAATACCGATTTTATCAATATGTATTGACAAACTTTTGAGCGGTAGTATATAAATATATATATATATATATATATATATATATATATATATATATATATATATATATATATATATATATATATATATATATATATATATATAAAATCTCATAAACAAGAGTTTACATTAAATTATTTTTTTCGACTTTATATTAAATGTTTCATTTTTTTTGAATATAATACTCTACTTTCTACTTTATTTTTTTATTAAAGAAAATAACGAAGAAGAGGCGCACTTAAATTTAGCGGTGCAAAAAAAAAAAATTCTTATTTACTTGACTAACAACTTTGTTGTTTTATGGAAAAAAAAGGTTTTCTCAACTCAATATTGCAACACACCTAACTCGTCAGTATGCCACTATAGGAAGAAGTCATAATTTTCATTTAAATAAGCAATGTTTGCCGTGTTAAAAAGAAAAAGTTAAAATAAGTGTCCTACTAAATGCACAAAACTTAAAAATAAAATCCATGAAAATTTTTATTTCTGCACAGTTAATAATAAAATCAAAATCTTAAATATTTAAAGGGATTAAAAATACAACAGCACATCCCAAATTACAAATGTTAATTACAAAGACAATATTTGTGCATAATGGACGAATTTTTACTAAAACTAATGTAAAGTCAGAATGGACATCTTGGTCTAATCACTTTTTCACCATAACCAATATTTATGAAAATATGACCGGTATGCCATCATAGGCGCTATGCCATCCTATGATTGCATAGCGCTTATACGAGTCTCTCCTTTAGCCACAAGTCTTTTTTGTAAAGTTAAAACATATATAGTTTTACAGTTTTCTTTTGTTGGAAATGTTGAATATTAAGGAAAAGTTGCCGCAACTGCATTGCGGCAACATTTTTATATCACCATTTTTTTTTATAAAGTCATTTGTTTGCATCCGTGGTCGAATGCTTAGCTTGCAGAGTTACTTAAGCAAAGCGTCGTGGTTCGAATCCTATTTCATTAACCCTATTATTTTTTTATTTTTTTTTTGAATTTTCTAAAATACAAAATAAAATACTTCTGAAATTTTATAGATACTATAAACATAACATATGTAAAGATATTGTACACTGTAACAAACGAAAGAGAGAGAAATTAAAAAAATATATACAATTTATAAAATCATCGAAAGAGTAGGAGAAATTGGTTTTGTATGTTTCATTGTTGATAAAGGTTTTGTTTTTGCCAAAATCTAACGTCATTGCGCAAATTTTGTTTGGCTTATATATTGTTGTATCTGCTTGGATACATTACAATTAGTTTGTATTTTAAAGGAAATCTCGTGTTAAGAAATAATATATTTTAATACATTTACAAGTGACACACGTTTCTCAGACGCGGCTATTTTCTTTTTTAAATAAACATAGGACCTCGTGAATTAAAGTATAACAAGAACCGTAAAAAGGTTTAACACGTGCGCGATCACGCGCGACATTCCCCGCTTATCTAATTATTTACAAAGAGTTTAATGTCATTTTTATCGCAGAACTTCACGTTAATTATTTTTTCGTTCGACATTCGAAGCGAACCTTCTAAAAAGTACAGCCTATTAATAGGTCTTTGAATGATAATTTTTTTCCATTACTAATTTACTTAACTTCTGCTATTCGTATTTGATTATCATGTGATTTGATTAGTCTTTGAACAATTCCCGTTTTCCATAACCCTCGTTTAATATTAGGATCGTGTATTAATACCACGTCGTTTATTGCAATTTGATTTGTTCCCTTTCCATTTAATATGTTTGTGATATTCTCTTAGCTCAGTAACATATTCATCTCTCCATCGCTTCCAATAGTGATTTAGAACGTTACTAATGTATGCGCTGCGTGCATTTAAGTTATATTCTATATTGTCATCTTCAATTGCTAAAAAGTTTAATGTCCTCCCATATAATAAATGATTTGGCGTCAATGGGGTGTCTCCAGGTTTATTGTATGTAAATGTGATCGGGCGATTGTTGACGACAGCTTCAACTTCGGCTAATATAGTTAAAAGCTCTTCATAGGTAAGGCGTGCATTTGCTATTACTTTGCGGAGACAGCGTTTTGTTGGAGCAACAAGTCTTTCGAAGTATCCTCCCCATAACGGTGCAGCGGGAGGGTTGAAATGCCATGATATTCCACGAGATGATATAAAGTCTTGAGTGACTTTAGAGATTAAATGTGAGCCATTGTCGGAAGTAATTTCCACAGATGCTCCTCGTTTTGCTATAAACCGTCGTAAACTACAAACACAAGATTCAGCTGATGAATCAGGAATTTTTTAATATTTCCAAAGGAATTCAGCTGATGAATCAGATCTAAAAATAAAGAGCGTGTAGTACAACAGGTATATAAAAAATTCCAAGTTTTGAATAAATCATTGCTCTCATATATATTTTTAATGTATAAAGGGCCTGCATAGTCCACACCTGTAAATTTAAAGGCATGGTCATCATTTAATCTGCTTAATGGTAAAGGGGGTGTCTGGGGTAAGAGTAAGGCAGCCCTTCAAAACGTTTGCATAAGTGACATTTCCTAATAAGTTTCTTGATGTAATTTCTTGCTTTCGGTACCCAAAACCTACTGCGTAGCTGGTTTAATGTTTCTTTTACACCGTTATACATGACTATCGAGTGATGGTAGTAAATAACTAAATCAGTAAACTCTGAATCGCGTGGCAAGAAGATGGGGTACTTCATATCTGATGGGATTGGGGCATTTTCTAGACGCCCATAGCAACGTATGATACCATCAACCTTACGTAGGTTTAGATCACGTTGGATTTGTTTATAGTTCTTTGTACTGGTGATAGTTTGTTGGGTATATTGTATCCAAATTTTTAAAGCATAATCAATTTCTGAGGAATCTAGAGGAGATAGTTTTAAACTTTTTTTAGCTTTCTTCTTTTTGAGGTTTCTAATGAACCGTAATACTAAAGCTGTAACGCGTATCAAAAGGGTATAGCTATTAAGCTTTTTAATGTCAACCATATTTAAATTAATAGAAGTGTCACTTGCAACAATATTAGTTAATATTTCTTCTACAATATTCATAGGTTGATTTACTAGATCAAATTTTGGCCAATCATTGAGGTTGTTACATAGGAACAAAGGTCCATTAAACCAATGTTTACAATTTCGTAAACCTACTATGTCTGTACCTCTTGAAGCTATATCTGCTGGGTTATTACGAGAGTCTACATATTTCCAATGGGTAATATCAAAATCTTCTCGAATTTTACGTACACGTTTTTGTATAAAGGTATGATAAACTTTTTTAGTGTTATTTATCCAATGTAAAGCGATAGTGGAGTCAGTCCAACATATAATGTCTTTAAATTTAAAAATTGGGGAAAGTTCCTTACGACAAATGACATAGTTTCAATTAATAACAAGGCTGCTCTTAACTCTAAGCGGGGAACAGTAGTTTTCCTTATTGGGGTAATTCTGGATTTTCCAGTAACAAGTGAACAATGGTGTTGCTTATTATTTAGAGAGTATAGTAAATAGATACAGCAACTGTAAGCATCTAGACTGGCGTCACTAAACCCATGTAATGGGATGTCTTGAAATAATGATGTTTTGAGCGGAATGGAAATCATTAAAAATGTTTCTCCACACTACCAACAAATTACCTTCTAGCTTAGTATCCCATTCTACCTTACTTGAGCATACTTCTTGAAAGAAGATCTTTAAACGTACTACTACTGGATTTATGATACCAAGTGGATCGAAGATGCTAGCTATGAATCGAAGTATATCTCTTTTTGTTGGGTTAGCTTTCATTTCAGTTAACACTTTTGCTAGATCAAATGTTAAAATGTCTTTTTCCTTGTTCCAATTCAAACCTAATACTTTAGTAGTGTTGTGAGATTTAAAGCTTTGTTCATTTACTAAATTTTCCAAGTCTTTACAGTTTGATTCAAATTTCCTTAAATTGAAACCTGCTTCTTGTAGGTGATATTTACACTTTTGATAAAATTGAAATGCTGCATATATGGAATTAGCTCCTGCGTTAAGGTTATCTACATGTAATGTGTTCATGAGTTTATAAACAAAATTTGGATCGCTGTCTATGTATCGCTCAGCATGTTTTTTTAGTGTTGCAGAGAGAAGGAACGGGGATGATGTAACATCAAATAATACTCTACAAAGTCTGTACGAAATTATTTCTTTTGTATAAATGTTACTTGAATTAATGCCATTAAGATCTTTAAACCATAAGAATCGTACATAATCACGATCCAAGGGTGGTAATGCTATCTGTAAAAAAGCTTTTTCTATATCCGCTATGTAAGCTATCTTTTGAGAACGTAATAAAACACCATAGAGGGAAGTTGTCAATGAAGGTTCTGCAGAAAGACATTCATTTAATGATGGGCCCTCTGCTGCGCTACTAGCGTCAAACACAATTCTCACTTTACTAGTAATTTTATCACTTCTCAAAACAGGTCGATGTGGTAAATAATGTACCTGTCAATGATCTTTTGCCTCATCAAGTACTGGTTCAATAATTCCTTGTAAAGATTGATCTTTTATAATGTCGTTATATGATTGTAGGAGTCTTTTGTCTTTGCTTAGTCTTTTCTGCAAGTATTTCAATCGGTTAATGCATAAACTGTAATTATCACAAATAGGAAAGTGATTTTCTTTAAATGGTAGTCGGACACTGTATTGCTTTTGGGCCTCATTGTAGTTAATAGTGTGTCGAAAATTGTCAATGATATCAAATTGGGAATTTTCAAATTCTCCTATGCCCCAGATGAATGCCATGGAATCTTTCACCAATGATTTTGAATTCGTTGAATCAACTAACATGACATGAGTTGTGTTGACATTACAACCTGATTCATTGTTATTCAGTTTATCAATGTAAATAGGACCACTGAGTAAAAAACCCAGCTGAGATTTCAATGCAATAGGATGACTATCTTTATATTCTCTAATGATCTTGTCTAACAAATGACCAATAAAAATCAGCCCCAATCAGAACATCTACCTTCATACCATCACCATTCAAATTATAGTCTGCTAACCTAAGTCTATTTAAGTGCCTAGACTTCTGCTTCGCTTCACTAATATACTGACCATTGAGAGGGGAACATATTTCTTTTACATAGCAAATTATTTGTATTGTGCGACCAAATAAACATTTAACTGGTAGTTCAACTTTATCCAAAACTTCTGTTGTGTTATTGTTACCAAATGTTTTTATATTAATTTATTTTTAACCCAGTGTTCGAAGTTTTAATTTCTTATGTAAATTGGGAGATAAATAACTTAACTGTGAGTAATTATCAAAGAGGATCCTACAACTATGTAACTTGGCATTGTTGTCAAAAACTTGAGCAGATGCAGTCTGCAGTAAAATAGATTGATACCCTTCAGAAGTAGCCTCTGCAATTGAAGTCAATTGTCCAACAGCTTGATTTTGTAAGTTAAAGTTCTGCGTATCAATACATAGTGCAGAATGATGATGTCGACCGCATTTAAAGCATTTTATTCTAGATAAGCATTGTTTACTTATATGTCCACTTTCTAAGCATTTGAAACAAAGTTTTTTATCACTGATAATTTTCTTTCTGGATTGAATGTTCGTTATTGATCGGCAGTTTTGTGATTTGTGAGGCTGTTCACAAAAAAGGCATTTGTTCAATTTATGAAGATCTCTTGGAGTATTTCTTTTAAAATAGGAACCTTTGTCTAAATTATTTCGTCTTAAATTATGATGTGATCCTCTGTTGAATGAATTGGATGGATAAGTTTGATATGGCTCTCTGTTATTTGTACCAGTGTGAAGCGTTTCAGCAGTAAAAAATTGTTCTGATTTATTAAATGAGTTAGTTAAGGTTTGTTCTCGTGCAGATAATTCATTTGTTAAAAAATCAATAATAGATTTAACATCCCAGTTATCATTGTTATTATATTGATGGTTGATTATTAAAGTCAGTTCTTCTGGAATTTTTTCTAAGATTATTGGAATGAGTAGGGGTCCATACATATTACTACTGATACCTAAATTTTCAAGGCTTCTAACTTGTATTTCTAAACTGACAAAAAATTTTCTTAACATTTCAATTCTATTTATACTATTGATCCTTTCCAATGATAAAAGTTTACGCATGTGGGATGAAATGAGGGCTTGTTTATTGTCATATCTACGTTTAAGAACATCGAATGCAGTTTCATAATTTTCATTTGTCAAGGCAAGTCCAGTTATAGATGCTTGAGCTGGTCCTTGAAGTAAGTTACGTAGGTAGGTCATTTTTTGAATGTTAGATAAATCCTCATTATAGTTAACAGTACAATTGAAATTTTCTATAAATGATACCCAGTTTTCCGGTTTTCCATCAAATGGTTCTAGTTTTAATATGGGAAGCTTGACATTCTTATTTTTAGAATTGCTAGTTAAACTTGATGAATCTAATTTAGAGTCGTACTTTTGTAAATGCTTGTTAATAATTGAAAGTTCATTTTTACACTTGAGCATAAAGTCTGTGGAAGTATCTGCATCCTATTGTAGCTCTTCATCATCTTCAATAAGTAAAGAAATTTCTTCGTCTAGTTGATTAACTTTAGTGAATTTTTCATTTATTGTATCACGAATGTCAATTAAATTTTGATATTGCTCATCAGAGTTAACAGATGAAGTTTCAGACGATTTTTCAAAAAGTTTATATAAAAGTTTAATAGTAACAGTTCTGAGTCTACGTCTGGATTGAAGGTTTGACATTCTGACTAAATTAGCAAACTATAATTTGACAATGACAGTAATCTAGTATCTGAACTGACTAGAGCTTTTTTCAACAATAATAACCACAACCAAATATACTCAAAAATAATGAAATGGCAAATCAAATGACGTCAAAATAATGGGAATGTCTAAATACTTTTGAGTTGTGTAAATATTATGTAAACAAATACTCTTAAAATGTTTACGTTCGTTAATAAAAATTAAATATGCTTATAGTAATAATTTTTAAAGTATATCAACGTTCACTAATTAACTTAAATCCAGAATTCTTTAACATTAAAAAATAAAGTATAAATAGAATTAACATAACTTATTCTTTTAGTTTAAGATCCTTTCTTTATCTTCTGAAATCCTTTTCATCGACAGTTAGTTTAATTTTAATCCGTGGCTCCATGTTGTATCTGCTTGGATACATTACAATCAGTTTGTATTTTAAAGGAAATCTTGTGTTAAGAAATAATATATTTTAATACTTTACAAGTGACACACGTTTCTCAGAAGCGGCTCTTTTCTTTTTAAAATAAACATAGGACTTCGTGAATTAAAATATAATAAGAACCGTAAAAAGGTTTAACACGTGCGCGATCACGCGCGACATATATAAGATTAGCGTTTTCTTAGATCCTCTTAGTTCTGCCATTTGTATAACGTTACGTATAAATTAGGATGTCCCGGATAAGTTATCCGACCGGATATCCGGGCCGAATAGAATTGATATAAATTTATAATTCCCCAAATTTAATGCAAAAAACCGCCAGATTAAATAAAATAACTACCAGATTTGTGCAAAATACCACTAGATTAATTTCAAAAACCGGCATATATAAATTTTGTTGATGTATTCTACAAATAGAGTGGTCAATGTTCTTAATGAAGAAAGCAATAACAAATTGAATAAAATATGTTAACTTTATTTTAAAAAGTCAGGGGTTTAGTTTAGGGTTGTCCATAAAGTACGCACGCCAAAAATTTTGAAGTTTGACCCTCTCCCTGAAATTTAAACCCCTCCCTCCCCCTGTTGCCATGTGTACTTCTAACTTCTCCTCCCACATTTTTAAAAAGTACGTACGTTGTTAAAATACCCCCACCCTCCCCCAAATAAAAAAAGAAAAAATTTTTTTCAATGAAAAATTTTATGAAAAAAAAAAAGGTGGAGTAAGTACCTTAGATACTTTAAACGACCCAAAAGCTATTTGTTTGCGGCACAGGATCGAAATTTATAAAAAGTTTTTAAATATACATGGAAATACTAATTTTAATAAAGTTAAATTACACTATATAATGAGTTTGCTTATAAATACTAAGTTTAAATACTAAAGCAAATAATAAATTTAATAAAGTTAAATTACACTATACAATGAGTTTGCTGGGTCGAGCGGTTTATGTCGTAGACTGCGGCATTGGAGACCTGTGTTCGATCCCCGATCGAGTCAAACTATGCTTTTTTTTATTTTAATGACAAATCAAATAAAAATAAACTATAATTAAGGCGGAAGTTTTTTTCAGACACCCCTATTTAGTAAGTCAGTAAATTCAGTAATATCATAAACAAAGCATAAAACCCAGTGCCGAGAATACCAGTACCTATTAATCTGGAGGGGAGAGGGAAGCGGGTAGAAACTTTTTGCTAATTTAAGGATCTTTTTATTTTAGCAAAACCTGTCGGTAAAATTTGAGAGATTTTGAGACCCAAATGACACAACTTTTTTTAGGTGGGGGGTTTCTGACCCATTAGTAACGACACTACTAAAACCTGTTTTTTGTCAAGTCAAAAAATAGGTTGCCTGAAATAGGTTGCTTGAAATGCCTTACTAATGGCCAGTATATACCCAGCCAGCTAAACGACTCGGGGCCCACACGGGACCCGCGTTGTTTTAAGTTTGGGTCTCGTACGGGAATCCCAGTCGGGACCCGCAAGGTTTTGTACCCACACGGGAACCACATAAGAACGTTTTTGGAAGGGCTCCGACCGGGAACCGCATGGGCACGTTTTTGGAAGGATTGATTGCGAAATAATTTAATTTATTTGGTAATAAAACTATTTGTTAAGTTAATTCGTGTCTATAGAGACCTGTTTACGACTTGCACGACTACACGTACGATTATCACCGTACGGCAATTCTCGAATATCTTAGAATATACTAAATCTTATATATTTGATTTAATAGACGAATATTTTTTAAGTTCTAACTATATTTCTGATAATAACAAATCAGCATGATCTGATATAGATTTTTTTTTCCGGCTGTCTTGGCCTCGATCTCGGGCGTTAGCAAACCATTTACGTAACTCAACCTCATTCTCTTTTTCGGTTGCATTAGCTGTCAATGCATTTCGTTTAACTGCACCTAAACAAAAACGAAAGTAATTGTAAAAATTATTATAATTTATGTTTATGTAAAAATATCTAATTTTAAATATATTCAAATAAAAATAATTTATAAATTATTCATATAATGATTGTTATGTGAAAAGTATAACATACCACAGACTACATCAAATATTTCTAGTTTCGAAAAGCATACTTTTCCAGCCTGCACAGAAAGATTACACAGTCTTCCAAGATTATTAGATAGAATGAATTTCATCATTCTTTTAATGGCATCATCCAATAAGCTCCCACCAATATTGGACACTATTGAAGTCTAAAAAAAGTATCATTGGATTTTTATAGTAAAAAACAAATAAATTGAATTAAATTAAGAAATGATTGTATTAGTTTTATGACCAAATGCTAGTCTAACACTGTACTCTGAGTCTACTGAACAAAATGGTGAGGGTGGATTTTGGTCAAGATATAATATAATAAAGGCAGTCTGAAGAGGCTTGGAGGACAAAAATACATTAAAATAAACCAATAAATGAAAAAAAAATTGTTCTTAGACAATGAAAAAAAAGTTACCCCTCATCAATATTCTCTTTATTGAGCAATCTTTTAGCTGCTCCTCCAAATCATTAATATCTTTGATACTGGAAATGCGAAGGTCAATGCCTACAGGCAATTCATTATCTTTTTCCACCTGAGGTGTATTGATTTGTCGCATTATAGACTGCAACATTGCAGAATGAGTCTTTTGAGTTTCTTTAATTTCTTCAAGGGTTGTTATTAACCTCTCCAATAGAACAGCTAAATCATTTTTTTTTTAATTGTTAAATGTTAATACAATAATACAGGTTATCAAATTAATAAATACATAGGTTTAGCCACAGCTACTGTGTTCTGCCAGAATAAAGGTTAAGTTAGCCAAACACTTGCTGTGCAACAAATTATTATATTACTAAGTTTTATTAATTTTATTATTATTAATCTTTTTTAAATATTTTTTTAATATTCAAAAGTCATAATTATTTTAATATTCAAGAGTTATACAATCAAAGGTTCAATAAACTAACTTTAATGAAATCTTTAAAAAATTATTAATTAAAGAAATTTGCAACTTTAGAAAACTAGCTTACATGAGTTGATCGAACTTAACACGTGAACTGGTGTTTTCATGATAGTTTTTGATTGATTGGACAACACACCAGGGTGTAATATACCAGGCTGGCTATCAGATGTATTGGAATGTAGATTGTTTAGATATTTTGACATATGCAACCCTGAGCTTCACTTTATTGCCATCAAGTGATCAGGTGGTGTTGGTTTAGTAATACTACAGATGTTTGTACTTCTGAAACAACAATTTGAAAACAAAATAGATAAAAATATAATAGGCTATATTAAGTTTTCAAATTATTACTCGCAGGTCCACCTCACTCAAAAATTAAACTTTAAAACCAATGTATACCTCCTGAATATAAACTTTAAAGTAAATTGGAAAGTTTAATACCTCTGGGTATTAAACTTTCCAATTTACTTTAGCAACCATCTAATTAATATCGTATTCGCTTGTAACCCCTTACTTTTAAATACTTTTGTAACACTATTGAACAATAAGAACTTGTATACACTTGTTTAAAATCAATAAAGATGTCATTTAAGTACATGTGTTATATTTGTTTTATAAATTCATATTTAAATCACAAAAACTAAAAATCATAAAAACAGTAACTTTTTTAATTCATCACTCGATTTAGCAAGGTCATCAATAATTTCATCGTTGGTTATGTTACTCAATATGTCCTTTTCAATGCACATCATCAACAGTGAGTCCAAGTGATTATCTGTCAACTGACTTCGCAATCTTGTTTTGACACATTTCAACTTGCTGAAACTCCTCTCACAAGCCACTTGGATAATTAAAAATGTGAGCATGAATTTGTAAGCCCTGTGCTGCATGCAGTAGCTCTTGCCGTAAAGATTATATTTTCGAAGCACATGGCCGCATTTATGGTTAGTGGCGTCATCTTCATTTTCCTCATCAATCGTGATTTGATCAGAGCAATCGTAACTCTCTTCCAATGTTTTTTTTTTAAACTTTTTTGCAAGTCCAACAGCTCAAGCAACAGCTGCGCTTCTTCGCCTAAAATATAAAAAGATAAAGATAATCTTATAAATATTCAAAATAAAGAACAAAAGAGATAACCTTATCTAATGCTAATTAAAAATTAGCATTAGATAAGGTTATCTTGATATATAAATTAGCATTAGATAAGGTTATCTTGATATAGGTTATATATGAAAGTGAAGTTGCTGATGATGAAGTTGAAGACAATTTCAAAAAAGCGAAACAAGTTAAGATAAGGTAATCAATTTTTTTAACTCATTTTTTTTTTTATAATAATTTTTAGAAATCCAAAACAATATATTTTGTATATTAAGATCGAGTATGAAAAAAATATAAAAACTTAAACTAACAAACTCGTACAAATGAGTGGTCTTGTTAATGATTGTAACATCTCTAATCTCTTATTTCTTTATTTCAAAATAACAAATACACTCGGCATAGGGATAATTAATGAGTTTCTGTATCATTAGAAATTACTCTTCATTAGTTACACCTGGATCTGCTAGTGATACAATAACAACATTTTCAATTAAGTACCATGTATGTCTAAGAGTAGAACTTTTCAGACTTTTGCCATCTACTCGGCTCTATTCGGCTGCTTTAATAGCTTTGAGATCATTAGATGGTGCCTGGGTTATGATTGATGCCTTCAGAAACCAAGTAATGTAAAATATTGCTACAAAAAGTGCAATTTTTTTGATATCTTCTATCTCTTCCAATGACATTTTAGTTTTTTCTGAGTTAGTTAAGCATCAATAAATATATTTTATTTGCCATAAAGTTTCATGAAAAGCAGGGGGTTGATAAAGGTAGAAATTTGGTAGTTCGTTATCTAAATAAAATAACCTAGTTCACATAACCTTATATAGTCTGTTCTCATCTTGGAAAAGGTTTTCAGGGTAACGGAATTTCCTAAGTATTCTTTAGCTTCTTGTGCAAGGCATTAATGCATGTAAGAACTGTTTTTAAAAATGTTGAATTTAACAGTCTAAACAGTTAATATCTTCATTGCGTACCTGAAAATTTTTAGGCCAATTTTTTTTTAAATATGCAAACAGTTGTTTTTTTGGTGCCATAGTCTTTCCTGTTAGCGTATACACTAAATGATTGATGTGTCTCTCATATATGTGTCGGCGACATAAAAGCTACATAATGTGCTTCACGATAACATACCTACTTATAAGTTAAATTCCTCCATTATAAACACAAGTGTTTGAAGCAGTTGTGTTAGTACAAACAACAAAAATGTTATTTTCAATTTCAAAATCTTTTAGTACCTTTTTTATTTGTTTTGCTTGGTATTTGCCTTTAGATGGATTTGCTTGCAACATTCCTAGCTATTATGACCATCCTCAGGAACCGCCACACATTGCAATCTTTTCCATTTTAAAAGTAATGTAATTTTGTTTTTAAAATTCTTACCAGTTAATGCATTTTTATAACTATTTCTAATTTCCTCTCTTTTATTTTTGATGGTATGAAATCTTTTTTTTGTGGGTTCTTGATTTTGAAAAAACAATGTTTTTCAAACTATGCATTGCATGCTTTAGAATTGAGGAAAGAATCGCTGTATGACTCTCTTACACTATTATGAAAACTTTTAGCAACTTCACGTGCTACTTTTATTAATCCGTCCCCTGATATTTATAGGTGCAGCTCATCAAATCCTTTTTTTTTTTTTTTTTTATGTTAACGACACAGAGAGATTTTTATCTTCTTCACTTCTTGAGTCAAAATTTATTGATTATCTGAATCAGAGACTATATGATTTTCAAACAATTTTTTATTTTAAAACATGTTTTTTGTATGATTTATTCAAAAGTTCAATTTTCTTTCGGTAAATCATGTCAATATCCTCAGTTATACACATTTTTCTAGTTAACTTTTGATCGTTTAAGAATTTAATGTCCTCTTTAATGGTATCAGGTGATCTGTTGCGATCAACTTTGATTTTCATTACAATATCTTTGAAGCCTATGTCGAAAGTTTGAAGTTTTTTTATAGTTGGTTTCGAGAACAATTCACACGTTTACAACTTAAAAAGAGATTGACAGTTAAAATAAAAAAAAACAATTTATTGTAAATATATTAAGAAAATCTATTTGCTTTCTTCATTTTTTGTGAAGCTTTATAATCTTATCTCTAATGGTCTAACTTTTCATCAAGAAGTCTTTTTAAAAACCCGCTCTGCACCAGATATTTACTACTTCTTTGACAAGACAACCTTTAATACCTGTCTCACATTTGACAACAGGGATTTGACATTTTTGCTGATACCCTCCTTCCTCCGTGGAGCAACTAATATTTGATTTTGTTGACTTATACCTTAATTGCTTTAAGGAAATAGTATGGCAATATCTTCTTAAAATGTCTCCATTTGTAAGCAACTGGTATTTGGAAATTTCTAAAATGGGTCTGTTTAAAAGATACAATGCTCTCCATGGGTTTTGTTAATTTTACCACATTGTTAATTTTTTTTTCAATATCTTTAAATTTTTTTTTCTACAGCTTGTTCTTCTTCATTGTTTATTGTTTATTTGCATACTAGTATTTATTTATATAACAAAAAATATAAACTTTATTGTTATATTGATTTAATTAATGTACTATATAAATCTCTGCTATAGTATTAAAAAAATAATACTTGCTTGTTTATAAAATCAAAATAAATAAATGAGAAAAAGATAGAATGTGAAAAACCATATTAAAGTTCCAAAAGTACCTGTTTTTCAGTTTTTACGTCTAACACTTCCAAGGGCCCCTAAACCTATAAATTTGGTAAAATTGCTTATTTTTATGCATACAATCAGGATGTATTTTAGAACCTAAAATAATTTTTTTGGGGACACCCTAATGCACAGCATATAATGTTTTAACTGAAAAACATGAAATCAAACATCTTGTAAATGAAAATCATAAGGCTTTTTTTAATATATCTTAATTATGTTAAATTACTAACCCCGGTAAATATGTTGCAGACCAGAAAATTTGTGTGTTTGTTGCCACAGAGAACATGCTAGTCAAAAATTATGAAAACTTTTATTAATTGCATTGAGTAGTAAAGTTTCAACTTTATTGTTTAAAACTAAATTTAATTTTATCGACAGATTTTAAATTTTGTAGAAAATGTTGTAAATTACAAAAGTTATGACCATGCAAAATTTACTCCCCCCCCCCTTTTTTTTTTTGTTATTGTTTGGGGGGGGGGGGCGTTTCAGGCTTAACATAGGTAAAAATATACTATAGTTTGCAGTTTGCACAATGCGTGAAAGTATACTATGGAATATCAAAAAATCCTACGGGCCCATGTGTTGAGGTAAACTACACCCTCTACTCCTTATACCAAACAACTTTTAATGTTGGCAAACTAAGATCTTTAGGGGCCATCCATAAAGGACGTCATCCAAATAGGGGGGGGGGGAGAGGGTCGAAATAAAAAGGACAAAAAAGGACAAGGGAAGGAGGGAGTTTGTCAGAACGATAAATTTAACATGGAAAACTACGTAAACATATGTTTTTGAGAAGATATTGTATGAGAATATTTTTAATTTTATTTCTAATGGTGTAGCAGCAGATTCAAACATCATTGCAAGATAAAATAAATTTTTTTGGAGTTAAAGATAGGCAGGGTGGTCAGGATTTTATGACGTCCTTTTTTCAAGGGGGTATAGGGAAAAAGGACAACAGGTGACAAAGGCGGGGGAGGGGTCAAAAATTGGATAAAAAATGGTGACGTTCTTTATGGATATCCCCTTAGTCAAAGTTTTAATTTTTCTATTGATTAGCTGGTTAATTATAATAAATTAGAAAATTGATGGACGTAATTTTGAATTGAACTCCCAAACCCCCCACCCCCACGCATCCCACCCCATACACTTTCGTACGCTTTTTGATGATCTCCCCCCTATGAGCGTACGTACTTTATGGACGACCCCTAATAGATATTTAATTTACTGTATTACCACTTTACATTTATTTGTTTTATATAATTAACAGAATTTCTTATTAACTTTATCTTTACGGAATCAAGAGGCTTGGGGATAAGTCTTCTTATCTTGCCAATGCAACCCATATATCTTGTTTGTAACGTACGGAATGAATATATGGCGGTCTTTAAAACGGCGCACCCCAAACTCGGTAAACAACGAAAATTTTTGTTATAAAAAGTCAATTTTCATTGGCTAAAAAATTAAACTAGACTTTAGCACGTTTTCAAGTTTTTTAGTTCACTTCAGTACACGACGACTTCAAGCAAGATGGCTCCTCTGGCAGAATTTATTGAAAGCATCAAAGAAGAAATGCTGATTAATTTTCTCTATCAAAACAGACTAATGCCTGTTCGTAAATCTTGTATCTGTGGTCAACAAATGACTATTCAAAGATTTGAGCGGTGTCAAATAAGTAATGTAAATATCATATTTAATTATAGTGTGTTTCCATTATATCATTTTATTTAATTATATCATGTTTTATTATATTATGGTATCATTCGTATATTAATCGTACCATAATCACTCATATCATATTTATAATAAAATATATAATATAATAGTGCTGTACACTTAAAGAGTAATGAGTCCAAACTAAGTAGAGTTTGTAACTTTAACAGCTGTAACACACTAACATACAAACATAAAAAAGTTAGTATTTAAAATGTTCATCCAATTTTTTTTGAACTGGTTGATACTGACTGCGTCTATTGTTTCTTGTTCAAGATTGTTCCAGTCGTTTACTACTCTATTTGTGAAAAAATTATGTCGTTTTATATTTCCTGTATATTGCCTTCTCAGTTTACTATTGTGACCTCTAGTTTTATATCCGTTATCTAGCATTTCGGGTTTTGTGTAAAAATTTATAGTATCGTACCCTTTCAAATATTTAAACATTTGTATCAAATCACCCCTTCTTCTTCAGTTCTCCAACGATTTTAATTCTAGAAGCTCTTTGTTGGACACACTCTAGTTTATCTTTATTATACTGACGATAAGGATTCCAGATAGGAGCTGCGCATTCCAA